AGCAGAAGTAAGACCTTGGAGATGAAGGAGGAGTCAGCAAGAAACGGCAAGTGATCGAAGGAAGTGGAGGTCAAAGTCTTAGGCATGCGCTCATAGCAAAAAGACACGTAAATAGGTAAAATACATAGGTAATTCCATGCTAATGAAACAAACAGTAAACAGAGGCAGATCTTGAGATAGGAGGAACAAAGGTGGAGTAAATGTTAATAAGCATGAATCAAGGTGTGTAAATGTGGAAAGAACTAATGTTTGGGATGGCTTCCCAGTTTCTTGGGAGCTAGTCCGAAGCTGCCTCCATTTTGAATAAAGCTGTTGCTAGCAATGTGTGCTGGTGTTTGCTCTCTGAGCAATTGGATCGTCATCTCCCTAGTCATTGGGCGCCGCATGGAGTTGGGGTCTAACACTTCCAATTAGTTAAAGTGGCTGTTCTAAATCTCACTCTGAGGCACCTAACTCAGGACTGCGGGATTCCACCCTGGAGGTCAGGCACCTAAAAGTTAAGCCCTGCGATGCTGAACATCCCAACATGTAAGTCCCTTTGCAAGGCCTGATTTGTTTTTTGGATGGATTGTATGTACTTTAAAAAATAACTTGGCTTAATTTTATTTATCTAGAGTGACAGGGGTATTTCATCTTTGTTTTGTTGGGAGGCAAAGTTAAAATAGGAATGAGACTGTTCATTGTGGTTAAGTTAGCATCAGTGGTGTAGTGATCACTGAGCATCTGGGGTGGGGATAGGGACAGGGAAGGTTCTGAAAACCACAGAAGATGGGGTTGGGGGGTGACACAGTAGCATTGATGAGGAGAAGGGATGTCTTGTCAGCTCTGCCATGGCTGGGCTTCCAAGACAAATCCTGGGGAATTATCATTCTGCTGATCCCTGCACTACCTCTCCTTCTCCTGGCTGTGCACTACTATGGCTGGGCATTGGCATCACATGGCTTCCCCTGCTGTGGTAAGGACTCCCAAGGGGCGGAGGGTAGCATCATTCTATTTGTTCCCACCCTCCAGATACACAGCCCTGAGATCCCCCTCCTACAGCAAAGACTTGCAGTGGGGCAAATCCCAGTGCTCCCTCATAGTTGGTGCCTGGGGTGGGTGCCCCACCTTCCCTGCCTTACCTACCCTCACCTCCTAGCATCACCTCCTTGGGAAATATGAGAGTGCGGGTCTGGGAACAGGGAAGTAAACTGAAAGAAAAAGAGGGCCTGTCTTAGCAAGAATGTTGAAGATAATAGGCATCTTCAACATGTCTGGGGAATTCACTTCCGTAAGTGTCAGATTATTAGAAAAGCCCAAACCAAAGGCATGGTGGATAAACCAGCCCTTGAAAGTGCTTTGGGTAGAAGGGAGGGCCCTGCACAAGGTTGCTAAAGACACATTAGGAGCAGTTACTGTTTGTTACTGCTTCAGTCTTCTGGCAATAAAGTTCTGCACAGCTTCCCAAATGAGCATTTTGTCTCTGCATATCCCCTCCAGGCTGTGAGCAACACTTAGCTCAAGAACATTATTTTCTAAGCCATCATATACAAATGAACTTACTGCTTTGGATACAAGGGACAACATGCCCAAGCAAGTACTTCTGTATTTTGAGATGCATAGTTTACCCCATATAGTTTTATTGCCAATATAGTTTCCCTTGGAAGAGACTTTATTCGAAGAGGAAAGGTAACCCTGAAAGAAAGTCAGAAAAAGAAAAAATAAATAAATGAATGCACATTTTAATGCTGTTGTGTGTAGTTACCACTTTTCACATTTTACTGTACATTGCAACTGAATTTACTGAACAATTTTTTGAAAGAAAATGCAACTGATATATCTATTTTACATTGTGGCTGCACAGTTAACCTCAGGTCACATTACAGGAGAGGTAGCTTCTACAGTGTAATCCACCAAATGATCAATCACTAAGAGAAGGGGAGGACTAAATTTGGTTTTAGAGCTGCATGCAAAAGCCATTCAGTTAATATGAACTACTTTAGAATAGAAAGTGAATGAAAAATGGGTTATAAACTCATGGTAATGGGTTAACTTTTACTCTCAGAGAAACATAGTTTCATAGTTGGTAGGGTCAGAAGGGACCCGAGCAGATCATCTAGTCTGACTCCCTGCCATAGGCAGGAAAGGATGCTGGGGTCAAATGACCTTGGCAAGGTGTCTATGTAGCCTCCTTTTAAAGACCCCCAGAGTAGGAGCCAGCACCACTTCCCTTGGAAATTGGTTCCAGATCCTAGCCACCCTGACTGAAGTAGTGCCTCCTGATGTCTAGCCTGAATCTACTCTCTGTCAGCTTATGGCCGTTATTCCTTGTTACTCCCAGTAGTGCTCGGGGGAACAGGGACTCACCCATTGTCTGCTGGTCTCCCTTGGCCAGTTTATAGATGGCCACCAGATCCCCTCTCAGCCTTCTCTTGTGGAGGCTGAACAGATTCAGATCTCGTAGCCTCTCCTTGTAGGGCCTGCCCTGCTGCCCCCTGATCATGCGAGTGGCCCTCCTCTGGACCCTCTTAATGTTGTTCACATCCCTTCTAAAGTGCAGCACCCAGAACTGGATGCAGTACTCCAACTGTGGCCTGACAAATGTCATATAGAGGGGGAGGATCACCTCCTTGGATGTGCTCGTGATGCATCTGTGGATGCATGACAAGGCGTGGTTAACCTTCCTGATTGCGTCCCCACACTGCCCACATTCCTCCAGTTCAAAAATGACCCGTCCACCACCACTCTCTGGGTGCGGTCCTCCAGCCAATTGGCAACCCATCTGACTGTGTAGGCATCAACACGACAATCTCTTAATTTTTTAATGAGAATGGGGTGAGAAACAGTGTCGAAGGCCTTCCTAATGTCCAGAAAGACTAAGTCCACCACAACACCTGTGTCCAAGGATTTTGTGACCTGATCATAGACAGCTTCTGTTGAAACTAATTAGTGCATATATCCTGGGCACAATATGATGCCATTTTCTAATTTATGCATGCATCACCAATGTTTTTTCCAGTGGAATAATTAGTGTGAGAAATCCAGGGCAGCTGCCCTGGGTACCAACATGGGGGCAGGGGTGCAGAGGAAAATAATGAAGCAACTGTCACCATGCAATCACACTGGCAGCACAGTGGCAGTCATAAGTCACTTATGCATTGCACCTGCCCAGGTGCCCAGCTGTATTCTTATGCCTTTGTTTTTTTCAAAACACAGTTTAAAGATAGAGATAGTTTTAAAAGCAATGCAAGTCACAGCATTTTCAGTAAATTTGTATAAACTAGCTTCATTTCATGTTTGCAAATATCATGAACATGTTGGCTGCTTAATTGTTTTCAGAAGTTGTATAAACTAGTTTAAAATATTAGTTTACATGAATTCAAATAAATAAGGTATTTCCATACAGAAGGCAACTCTGCAAGTCACTAGTTCAGAGATCTGCAACACTTTATTTTCTCTTTTTCCTGGAATGCAAGTACATGTTCAAAAGGGCATTTTTGATTTTTGCTGAGAACATTGCAGAGTCAGACTTATCAACTAGAAATGGAAATTAATTACATTTTCTACACGTACAAAATCAATAATCAGCAAGCTTTTCAGAAAGTACAAATCTGGACTAGCTTGAACTTTTAAAACTTGAGATAAATCTAAATTATACAGTGAAGAATTTCTGACATTCTAAATTGTTTAATGGAATGATACAATTGTTGGTGCTTTTAAAAATATGTATACTCATTCCTCAAAGGAGTAAACAACTATAGGAAACTCCACTGAAACATTAAAGCATTAAGGTTAGAGCTAGTGAATATTGGATAGAGGGGCAGTGGAATTTACACATAAGCAAGAGCAGGATTTTACCTTAATTTGTTGTAAATCTGCCAAAATGCCATTGCTTTCAGGAGAGTTTCTCTGAATGCACACTGGAGTATCTAGGTTTCTACTGATATTTCCAAACCAATTTCCAAACCACTTATAATGTTGAAATTTTGTACAATTAATCCCCAGCTAATAATATAAGTCCCTGGCCACATCGCCTCTATGCAACTTCATTATTAGTGCTACTAAAAGATGCACATGTAATATTAACATCATAAAAACTTCTATCCCTATCATTTGCTAGTGATACAATTATTACATGTCTATATTCTTTATCTCTCTTGACCATATTAGTTATACAGTTGCACTGCTGGTAATCAAAAATCTATGGCAAACCAAAAATCCCATCAGGATTAATTTCTTTTGATAAAGAACAACTCTATTTACTTTGTCTTCCCTTCAGACAATTCTGATTTTCTCAAGACTTAAATACACACCAGCAAATAATTTCCTTCGAACTTCTGATAAGAAATGAATTTATTAAGAAAAGGATACTAAAATGATACAAATAAAGTACTATAGGAAACAAACTTACCAAATATTTATCTTAGGCTGCATTTTTAAAAAGCCTAATCAAACACACAACTTTTCTTCCTTAACTTTGAACTACAATAAAATATTCAGTACCAGATATTTAGTAAAATTATTAGTTTTTTATAATTTAAATACCATAACCGTGTCAACTGATTTGATCATACTTACCATACTACACTTATACTAAATGTAAAATGTCAGTGCTGAATATTGAAAAGGCAATATTTGCCAACAGGTACCCAGTTGTGATGGTTTTGTCATCGATTAGAATAGGCAATAAGGGGCAGTCAAGGTGATAGAAAGAGTCAGCTGGTATGACATGCAAAATAAGAGAGTTGGTCTGCCCGCGTTTCTACTGTAGATTTATCTGAGTGTCTCACAACATGGGGTTTACAATAACAAACATTATAGCCTTACACTGTCAGAAATATTCACAAAAAACAAACTGAGGAAACCATCTTTGCCCTACAGCAAGGTATGGACTTCTCATTGCTCATTGCTTTCTGTCCTCCCAAGAAACTATTTCTGGAGTGTTTCTTACTTTTCTGCTTGGGACTCTATTGGCCTGCAGTCCCCAACCTTCTTATCACGTCCTGAGGAGGAGGAAGGACAGTACGAGTTAAACTTGTTTGGTAATCTTCTCACACCAAGTTTTCTCCATAAGACATCAAGGTAATTGCTGGCAAAGCTGGCCACCTAAGAGCACTTAAAGGCACTACCATGGGCACCCCCAGTATGCCAACATATTTATGACACAGCTTGAAGCCCATTTGCTCCACAGGTGCCCTCTCACCTCCCTGGTATACCTCAATGAGACTGTCATAATATGGACACATGGGAAGGAATCTATAGAGAAATTTCACCAGGACTTTAACAGCTTCCACTCCTCCATCAAACTAATGCTGGAGTACTCCACTAAACAAATGAATTTCCTGGACACTATAGTAAAGGTTTGCAATGGCCACATTGCCATCACACTTGATTGGAAAAAAATCAACCACCATAGCTACCTCCATGCCACCAGCTTTCACCCTAAGCACATCAGTAGATTCATCATCTACAACCAAGCTCTATATTACAGCCATGTTTGGTCTGATTTCACCGTTCAGAATGAATACCTTAAGGATCTGAAGCAGAAACTCCTTCAATTACAATACAATCCCAAAGCTGCATCCATGCAAATCAAGCAAAGCCAGACTCAGACCTTGCTGCAAGCCTGCTACAATACCATTCTTGGACAATGACATCAGAGTCCCTTTAAATGTCACCTACAACCCCCATCCTGAACACCTTAGATGCATCATTAATGACCTCCAAACCCTCCTGGAAAAGCTGATCATCTTAAGATAGACCTGGGTGTAACAGGGTCTCCCTTGAGGCCCTGTTGCTAAGGAGATGGGGGGCAGCTGGAAATTATTACCCACGGGGGGCGGGTCCTGGCCCGTAGGGAGCCAATGGCGACAAGACTCGGGGAATAAGTAGAACAGAGAGTGAAAGAGGGATGCCTGCGGGCACCAGAAGACTAAGGAAAAGCTGTGGGGACTCCAGAAGGTGGAAAAGGGATCATACCTATAACCTGAGGATGTTAGAAGAGAGAGACTTCAAGAGAGGCAGCAGGGGTACTTGGCAGACCCACTGACACTGGGGAACAAAGCCATCCTGATTTACAGACAAATTCCCAACCTCAAATGTCACCTCTCAAGCAACAGATTAACTAACTCCCATCCTCAGCAAGATACTAGGCCTTGCAATGGGTCCAAATTCTTGCACTGTCCCCCGTTCTTTACAGACCACATCATCACTGGACTCAGTAACAAGTATAATACCCAAGGTTCACTCACCTGCAACTCCACCAGTGTCGCATATGCTAATACTTAATTACAATGCTTCTTTGCTATCTATATTGGACAGACAGGGTGATGTCTACAGGCAAGAATGAAAGAGCACTGATATGACATCACCTGCAGAAACACACAAAGGCCTGTGGCAGAACACTAACTTCCTTGGACATTCCATTGCTAACCTCAGGCTATCCGTTCTCAGGCAGCAAAATTCCCCAAACCAGTTTGAATGGTACATTGTGGAACAAGAAATCATCCACAGACTGAGTTGTAAGTATGGTTTAAACAGGGATTTTGTGTTCTTGTCTCATTACCTGGATTAGCCTTTGTTCCTTTCAGTTCTTTGCTTGTATGCCTCTCCCAGCTCTGTTTGCCTTCCCCTTTCCTATCCATCTACCTCTCCCCCTTCCCACCTTTTGTATTCAAACCACTTTGCTTTATATACTGTTCTAAATGCTGTCCTTTAGCAGCACCCGATGAAGTGAGTTAGAGTTCACAAAAGCTTATGCTTTCTGTATGGCTAGAGACAGAATGTACATGAACTGATTTAAGTAATCAGAAACTAATTCAAACCTGTAACAGAACAGAAGTTCAGTGCACATAAGCCAGTTTCAAAATGGCTGACGCGGGTTTAAGATAAACCTGGTTGAATGCAGTATCAGACTTAATGGATTTATAGAAACTATGAAACTATGAGTTTGGGTCAAATCAGTTTATGAAACTTCTATCCCAGACCCCTTCCTGTGTTCAAGTTAAATCACAGTCCCGCAGCATCCCAGTATGCTTTCCATCCCTGTCTGCACCCCCAGAGAAGGGTTGGGAGTGTGGGGAGGCATGGACTGCCCCCCTGCCAGGCAAACCCCAGCTGGGGCCATGGAGGGGGGTTAAACACCCCTTCCCCTTCTCAAATGTACTGCTGGCTGTGACTGTGAACTATAAAGCCCAGAGGCACCTGGAAGCAGACCCTGCCTGTGCATGGAAGCAGAAAGAGTCCTGCTGCTGTGACTCTGGCCTGCAAATCTTAGAGACCTTGAGGGCAGCAGGCAGAGAAAACAAACACACAGTCCATGATAGCTGTGCCTGAGCCACTGCAGTGAAGCCTGAGCCACTGCAGGCATGTGGGTGAAATTCCTGAATCAAAAGTAAATGTGTGTCCAGTTGTTTCTCAGTTTAAACTCTGCAGCTTAGAGTAACCTGCACAGACTGAATCAATTCAGCCTTGGGCTTGTTGACTATTCGTACTTAGCCTATATCTTATTTAGTCAGTCTGTAGGGTGCATATCTGTCCTGCCTTGTTCCTGAGGGGTAACACACTACACAAAGAAGTGTAAGAGCAAATACAATTTACAAGCATGTGTGTGTTCATGTAAAAGTCCCTTGGGGGACCAGAGGAACCTTATCGCAGAGGCTCCAAGCACCTGCACTGGGTCTGAATAGCTTGAAACTCAATCTCTGCTCCCTTGCACTGTGGGTTTTTTGAAGCTTTTTTTATCAGATTGTTTCCTCAAACTGCTTCTCTGCCCTCAGGACTACCCAGTGAGTGAAAACTAGGCATGGCCTGGAGTTGCATTTCCTTTCTCTTTCAGTTTATTTTCAGTGGCAAGAGATATAAAAGTATTGTCCTCAGCCAACATGGCTGCTTTCCCTTCTTTTCTGCCTTCTCTGCTCCCTTCAGGTTCCCTGGACTAGAGGGAACCATTTTTCAATGGAGATGAAGATGCATAGGATCCTTTTGGTCCAGATGTAACACAGATTCAGGCAGCTTCTATCCTGTACTAGGGCTGAGGATAATGACATGGATTAAAGAAATATGGTCCCAGCTTTTAATCTATCCATTGTCCTTCACTTGATATTGATGCAGCAGCATATTTATAACATTATTGCTGCAAGTCAAGTGAGCTGACAATGTAACTAGAAGACAGTCATGCTGCCCTACATTTTCTGAATCTAATATTCATTGTGTAAAATCATACAGGCAAGAATAGTTCAGAAGAAGATTAACACTTACTTTTCATTCCAGTTTGCCAAGAAAAAGAATGATTTTTTTACTGGTGTATTTTTGCAGTTCCTCATTTGATATACTGTCTTCCCACCATAAGTTAATGAACAGGAAAAAGAAAAAGCTCTGTAGCTACGATGAAAAGGAAATAAAAATGATTAAGTGCAATTTAACATACCTAATGGACTAAATTCAGGTTTAACTATTCAGAAAACTGGAAGGTTCATTCTTGTTTATAGAAACAAGTTAAATAATGACCCTTATGCTAACATTTTTATAAGAACAGATTATTCCCTTATGGTTAGGTGTCAGAAGTGGTAGTCAGGCAAGGTTCTTTGGGTAGATGTGATATCCTTTCTTAGACCAACTAAAATAATTGGAAAAAAGTTTTTTGCAAGCTTTGGGGCACAAATGCCATTCTTTAGGCATTAGGAGACTCTGATGCTCTTATCCTTAGACCAACATGGCTATAACCAACAACCCTGCAGAAGTGGTAGTCTGAACTTCTGGGTTCTTTCCCAGGCCATGTTACTGCATTATGCCTGATCACTGAAATCAGAAGGAGTTTTGCTATTGACTTTATATGTCAAGAATAAAGCCCTGATTGTATTACTTCAGTAAACAGTAAATTTCTTTGTTGCCTCCATTTCCAAATCTGTAAAAATAGGATAATAGGTACAAAAATACACATTTATTACATGGTGGATGCATTTTTATGATGTGCTGGTGTCTTTAAGATGCTCACCTAATTAGATTTAGTCATAATTAACATTTTGGGTTCATATTCAATATCAATGTAAGATTAGAAAACAGCATTCCCAAACGGTCAATTTTGGTTCACATTCTGAATGAAAATTGTTAGCATCAGTATAGAGCTAGAATAACAAATGTGAACAACTCATCTGAAAAGATGTGGGGATTCAAGGTTCATATTTTGCCTCTCTTAGAAGAGTGGTTGTTGATCTTTTCCATGATTATTCTAAGAACAGTCATAAAATTACTGTATTAGAAATGCTTCTTTTTAGTTCAATGAACAAAGGATTCTGTAGGGAGAATTTTATGGGGGAAAAAGAATTCGATACTTTATTGTAACAAATAGGAATTGTATCTTTTTAAATATGACAACAATGTTATTTTAATGTTTCTTTTGCAAACATTTGCAAAAAGAAGATTGTTCAACAAATAATAAACACTGATAAAACTGAATCCTATGTTTTATTATATAAATAGTAGTATTATACTCTAAAAACTCATGGTGCTTTATAAATCATCTGTGTCCTAATGAACATACATTCTAAGATAAGAGCCAGATCTTATTCTATTTATCTGGCACCTAAGTGGCACCCAAATGCAATCCTGTTTCATCTTGCTCAAGTCCCCCCCAAAAAGAGAAAGGCAGGTACCAGAGCTGCAGAGAGGAAGACTGAATTAGCCACTGGATGTTGTAAAGGCTGGAGAGAGGAGAGGGATATTTAGAAAGAACAAAGAGTCATTTTCTCCTATGCCTATATTTGGCGCTCAAGCAATCAGGAACCTCAAGGGCATAGAAATTTCACATCTTAGTGGTAAAACATAGGAATGGTAGAGCCATCTGAAGAAACAGGGCAGTGATTATGAGTCTGTATTACCTTATTACTCTAAGTAATGCAAATTTTCTCAGATTTTTAATAAACTGCTAATTACAGTTATATGTTGTATGGTATATTATTTTCGATGATGGTCTAATATAAATGATCCCACTGTTTTTTAATCAGCCATTTGAAATTTAAGCTAAAATGGGAGCAAGGGGAAAATAGTAACAAAAAACTGGAAAATAATATTTCCCCCCATAAAAAGAAATGCCATTAGACCATAATCATTTGCCTTCTCTCAATTGCATGTTGTGGTAAGGGAAAAATATTCCCTTTAGAAGACATAAAACTAGCCATTTGAAGAGACCACAATTTGAACAAATAAACTATATGGTAGAGATTGTTTGTGATGTTTTTATTATAGTTCTCTCCCTCTGATTTGCTCTGTGGAGTTTGGTGTATCAGATACACTCAGCCTAATAAAAATATACTTACTTCATCAACATCTATAAACAAAAAATATTAGTATACATGGTTAGTCTGGTAAGCATGGTGTAAATAAGTCTACTCTGAATACAAGGGGTAACATTGCATTCAGATTTCATGTGAGCTAGGACAGTTCTCATTGGCTCCATTAAAAAGGGTTCAGCCCAGAGTTGTTCACAGTCCTAGAACCATATTCATATTTATTCCTAGCCTTTGGCCAGGGCTGTCCCTAGGGATGGGCGAGTGGGGTGGCTGTCCCAGGCCCGCTTCTTGAGGGGCCCTGAGGACAATCCTGTACAGTCCTTGCTGCAGGGCAATTTTCTTTCTCAAACTAGATTTAAACTTAACCCAAGCTATTCTGGTGGCATCACAAAAGATCTTTCTTGGGTGCAGCAACCACTATAAGGGATAGAGGA